GAAGTAGATTGCCCAACCTTCCTTCCAAGGAGTGGCTGGTGGGTTTGAACTGCCAGCCTTCTGGTTAGCAGTCAAGTGCCTTGGGCACTATGCTAACAGAGCTCCTAAAGCAAACTTAAGGGCCCTAATTTATAACATAAATAGACTATCAATTATAACCCAAAATGCACAAACAGCAGAAGATAAATTAGATGACTAAGATCTTCTAAAAATTAAATTCTTATGTGCATCAAAAAACTCCAAAAGAGTAAAAAGAGAAACTACAGATTGGGAAAAAATATTTGGCAATGACATATCAGACAAAGGACTTACCTCTAAAATTTACAGAAAACTTCAACACTTCAACATCAAAAAGTTTGATGTTGAAGTGTTGAAGTTCTATGGTTCTATGACCATGTGCAATTTTTTCAAACAATCGAATTCAAAAATGGGCAAAATATATGAACAGACACTTCACCATAGAAGATATTCAGGCAGCCAACAAACACATGATGAAATGCTCATGATCATTAGCCATAATAGAGATGCAAATCAAAACAACAATGAGATACCATCTCACCCTAGCACTAATAGCAGAGCTCAAGAACACAGAAAACAACAAATGCTGGTGAGGATATGGAGAGATTGGGACTCTCATACACTGCTGGTAGAACTGTAAAATGATACAACCAGTGTGGAAATCAGTATGGTGATTACTTAAGAAGCTGAAAATAGAAATACCATTTGATCCAGTAATCCTGTTACCAGGTATATATCCTAAAGAAGTGAGAGCCAGGACATGAACAGATATAGGCACACCCACATTCAGCGCTATTTACATTAGTAAAGAGAGAGAAACAACCTAACTGCCCATCAACAGATGAAGGGATTACCAAGCTATGGTACATACACCCAATGGAATACTATGCAACATTAAAGAATAATGAAGAATCCACAAATCACCTCATAACATGGATGAATTTGGAGGGCATTATTGCTGAGTGAAATAAGTCAATCACAGAAGGACAAATATCGTATGAGTCCATTAATATAAAAAGTCAAGGAAAAGTTTACACAGGGAAGGAAATTTTCTTTGTTGGTTACCAGGGATTGGGGGTGGGAGGGAAAACAGATGGATTGTTAAGAGACAGGTTTGATATGGGTGAAGGTAAAAGCAATTTAAGAAAAACGTGTGATGAGCGCGCGTACACACACACACACACACACACACACACACACCTATTTCTTTTTTCCCCAGTGGCCAAAGAGTTTATTTATTCATACAAACAATACCAGACAGTGTCATTGGCAGGAAGCAACTTCCAAGGGAGTCCAGTACTGGAGGATAAAGCAACTTCCTGCACACCCAACAGTTGCTCTGGTTTTGAACCTCAAAGACTGTCAGGAAGGGGCAAGGTTGTGGTCATTACTTGGTCACAGCCAGCTACCCAGAGGGACCGAGTAGTTGATCCTGAGGGCTTGGGACCATAGTCGCAGGGGACATCAAGCTCAATTGGCATAACATACTATACAAAACATTGTTCCACCTACTACTTTGGCGAGTAGCGACTGGG